CAAGGGGAAGGGTCTAAAGAGCACCCTATCGAATATGCCAGCCGACTGCTTTCTCTGGCTGAGCGAAACTATTCGCGCTGAACGAGAAGCCCTCGCTGTAGTGTGGGCCCTGAAAAAATTCGTGGTTACGTTGAAGTATCAAAAGTAACTATAACATCCGATCATCAACCTTTAAAATGGCTTTTGAACCTCAAATCTCCAACCGGAAGACTTGCTAGATGGGCGCTTGAAATTCAGTCTTTCAACATGAAAGTACAATACATTCCTAGAAAGGCAAACATCATCGCTGACATGCTGTCCCATTCAAGCTCCGAACATGAAATTTCACCTTGCGAGATTTCAAATATATCTGTAGTAGACATGCCCAGAAGAAGTCCAAAAGACATGTGAGAATCTCAACTTAAAGATGAAAACTTAAAAAGATTATATAAAGTTTTGAATCCACTCAGAAAACTGAAAAATGTGCTAACGGGACTGAACGGGGATTCTTAATGAATCAAGGTGTTCTCTACCGATATGTCCCTGACTCCGATTCAGAAGAGCCCCAGTTAGTAATTCCAACTGCCGAGCACAAATCCATCATGCGAAAGCACCATGATGACCCAATGGCTGGACATTATGGAGAGGAAGGAATATTCCAACAAATTGCCAGACGTTATTATTGGACTGGTATGAAAAAGTATATATCTGACTATGTGAAAAGCTGCCCTGAATGTAACCGCTACAAGCTACCAACCAAAAGCCAGCTGGACTGCTAAGAACCACTGTCTATTCTCAATGTTTTGAGATCATATCTATTGATTTGTTTGGGCCACTGCCAAAAACTGACACTGGAAAACAACAGTTTATCAGTGCAGTCATGCAACAAGTTTGTTGCACATTAAATATCAATCAAAACTTCATACTAGTTTACTTTTTTCAATCAGATCCTGTGGAATGGAAAAATAGAGACTTAAAACCTCGTCTTGCAATACTAGTAGGAGATGAGCATAACAACTGGCATTCGAAACTCCCAGCTATGAATACGGTCATCTGTGACACTACAGGCCATACACCAGCATTCCTAATGTTTGGAAAAAGAGCTGAGGACTGTCGACGACGTTGTTCACGATTTCAGAGCTGTGGTTGAAAATGATAACTTTGTTCCTGAAATATCACCCCTTATCTTAAACGATTTGTAACTATTACAAAGGACATACGAGAGCGTATCGAAATAAAGTGAGATCAACGTAAAAAGCAATGTGATAAAGGAAGGTGACAAATGTTTTATTCACCAGCTGATAAGGTGTGGGTCAATTTGCATCCCGTTAGCAGTCCAAAAAACAAAAAGACTTCAAAAGTTCATATCAAAGAGTGACGGTCCATACTTGGTAATGACACAAAAATCACCTACTTCCTATGTCATTTCAAGCCTTCCTAAACCATCAGAACTGTTAGGAACGTACCATATGTCTGCACTAACACCTTTTCGAAAGACTTGTCCACTTCTCCCATTCTTCCACTCAGGAAGAGACATACACCACCAAAAGTTACTTTGCATTTCCGAAATAATCAAGAACTTAAAAAAAAAAAAAAAAAAGACTAGAGGCAATGTTACAAGAGCTCCCAAATCCTCCAGTTCTGTCTCCTTGTCGGGATGTCGGCGGAGCCAGATGAGGAGTTTGTAACCAATCCCTTAACATAAACTATTAGACTAACTGTGAAAACAAGGCTGCTCTCTGGCGAGTAAGCCAGAGAAGTACTTCAGTAAAAGCCAAGCGTTCCACTTGATAGGTTGCCTATCAGACTACTGCTCTGTAATATTTTCTTAAAGTTAAATGTAATGTCTGTGTGTAACTTAAACCTGTTAATAAATACTTGTTACACTATACAGGACTCTTCTATGACCCTATCTAAAACGACCCTCTTCACAAAACTGCATATCATATAATAGAGGAGTTTAAGGATGTATTTTTAACTTCGTTCTAGTGATGTTAGTCACATGCAGCATCAGATTGTCACTGGAAGCCATCTACTTATCAAGCAAAATCCTGGGCATCTTTCTTTTGCAAAACAAGAGGAAGTTGGGGAAGTTCAGAAGGAGATGCAAGAACATTATCAAGCCTTCATCGAGTCCTTGGGTATCACCTTTTGTCTTAGGAAGAAATATGGCTTCACACGATTTTGTATCGATTGCATACATCCAAATGACATTAAAAAGAAAAACAGTTAACCTTTGCCTAGAACTAACAATACCGTAGATGTGCTAGCAGAAAACAATTATTTTGCATTGCAGATATGAAGAGCAGCGTCTGACGAGTGGAAATTAGTTATAACGATTGAGAAAAGACTGCATTTACTACTGACCAAGGCCCTTCTTGCATATCTTATTGCAGATTTGCCAACTTTTCCGATTTAGGCAGGAGACTCCCGATTTACAACATATTTCTTCCGACTTTTTCTTATTCTAAAAATTTCTCATGATTTTTATGTAGTTTGGCTTCGTTATTTGCATCTCCCAAAAAGTGATTTGGGGTGTCTGAAAGTGCCTAGTTTTTCTCTAGCCTGCATAGAAAACCAAAGCAGTTTCATGAGTGAGAATTTATGGCATGCTTCTGCTTTGTGAGTGAGAGCATGTGTCCGAAAACGTTGTGTTCTGTTTCTCCAATAAGCATGAGTGCCACTGCATGTCATCTGGCACATATTAGCCAATGAGTGCAAAGCAGGATTGAGGTTATTATTTTATTCATCTTGTGGCTTGTGTTAAAAAAGGTGCTTTTGAAAAATAGTTTAAGAAATTACAATATTTAGTATTAGTTATGTCTGTGAAAAAGGTAAAATACTTGTGTACTTTTCAAAATTCGTACACAGATGACTTTCTTTTTAATATTTCCTCAAGGAAATGTAATGCATTTGCAATGTGTACCGTTTGTCACTGCAATTTTTTGATTTTGCACAGTGGGAGAGCTGACGTTCTCAAACATGTTTGTGCTGGAAAAACACAAGGACAACATGAGTTCTATTGACAAAAAGAAAAGTTAATTTTTTCTGTGGCTACAAAGGACCAAAAAGTTATTAATGCAGAATGTTCTGTTTGCATTTAAGAATTAGAAGCTGAACTTTCAGATATTAATTAGTAACAATTTGAAGTTAATTCATTGTTAAAAATATATTTTTATCATTGAAAATAAAACAATTCTATTCGTTTTTGAGTATCGTAGGTTGGCAAGTATGTTATTGACATTATTACAATAAGACATTCATATGGAGAACATTTGGAAAAAAAAAAAAAAAAAAAAAAATACAGAGTCTTAGAAAGAGTTTTTAGATGTCAGCTCATCGGGACTTCACAGTAGCACTACTGGAGGTCATTTTGGTATAACAAAGACACTCTAAGCTTGTGAATGTTTCTTCTGGGAAAAGGTTAAAGCAGATGTAGAAAAACGTGCAGATCATGTGTGTCATACAGAGGCTAAAAAGGACTGCAAGGACATACTCAAGAAAGATTATAATGTAGGAGTGCTATTTGAAAGGACTGTTGTGGATATTCTCAGACCTTTACCTCGTTCAACTAAGGGTAACAAGTACATCCTAGATGTCATGGACTGCTGTAGTAAATGGCCAAAATGTATGAACATATAATTTTATTCATACAGTCAAGATTCTAATGCAACCTGATAGCTGGATTCAAAAGGTAACTGGTGTACAATATATGGGAATTAAATTGGAATTGTTTGGGACCAACTAGCAAACAGAAAGATCTAATTAATAAGTAGGTGACCTGTAATGAGATTTGATTGTATGTATATTCAAGGTGCTTCCTTATTGTCAGCCAACCAGTAGCCAAGTGGCTTAGACATCTGAAAGCTGGAACATTGATCCAGGTTAAATCCTGATAAACAAGCTGGCTGCATTAAGTTTTTTCTTTTCTTTTCTTTTTTTTTTTTTTTTTTTTCCCCTCCCCCATTTGCGACATAAATGCAATATTTTATTTAAAATTTTTTAAGTCAGTTTTCCCTTATGTAGTCTTTCCATGTTTAACTAATCAACTTAATCTTAACTTTTTTATTATTATTACTTCTGTTATTAAACCCTTTGACTGTGGATACCAAATACATTTGACCAAAAAATTACATTCCTTTTTTCCCCTTTTGAATTAATCACCTGTGAATGTCTTCTCAATACCTATAATTTAAATGACAATTTTTCTTAAAATATGAAAAAGATAATTACTTTTATGTTCTGTTGAAGGTTATGGTGTCACAGTGATCATGTTCACGAAAACATTTGCGAATACACTTTTCATGGTTTCCCAGGGTCAGAGGGTTAAATACCATCATTATATGTTACAAGCTGTTCGCTAAATGCTTAGTAGTCCTAAGCGTGGTCACTTATAATCCTTCCATTCTCAGAAAAGAGAAGCTCCAAGTAAAAGTGCAGCTTTGGCTTAATCCATTAACACGAAAGATGATGGGTTTAAAGGTTAAGTTTTAAGGTTGTAAGGCTGAATGTTGTTTGGATGAGAAAATGCTTTCTATTATATTAATAGCAATCATGAAAGTATGGCAGCTGCAAACTGTGTGCAAGAAGTAAGCATTTGTTATGAAAAGTCTTAAGTAAAACTTAGCAATATTTTTTCCAGTGTTTAAATAATGAGAGCCAGAATAATAAAGCACTACGCCATTTAATTTGATGTATTTAAGAATAAAATAAAAGTGAAATCCTGATTTTTCACCTCTTATGATGCAAAATGTCAGAGAATTTATATTAAAAATTTTATATTAAGAATAATATCTGAAACTATAAAAATTCATTTGTTCTAATTTTTGGGGGGTGGGGTGGGGAATGGGTTTTTAATAATTACAGCGGTAGTGTTACGAGATCATATTCATGCTCATATGCATTAAATCTGGGTGGATAGTTAATTCAAATTTCTCAAAAAATTTTAATATACTACAAGTATATGAAGCAAACTGATTTTTAAGACTTAATTTCTACTATATACGTATTTTTCTTTATAGATAGCTCTGCAGTTTTCTGTAATAATTTCTAAAATAGCACGGTTTGATTTTCCTAAAGAATGGCCTGAATTATTTCCTACTCTTTTATTTGGAGTGCAATCTGTGGAAGAATTGCAGCAGTTGAGAGCCTTATTAACTATGCATCATGTTGTAAAGTCTTTAGCTTCAAAACGTTTGATTGGAGACAGACGAATTTTTCAGCAGGTATTTTATGAAAATCTTTTTCTGTTTATAATTTGCAGCTGTACTTTTATGTAATTCAAGTTTTAAGGTAGAAATGAATATTTGTTGTAAAATGTCATGCTTTGAAAATTATTACTCCAAAGGGGCAATTTGCCCTGAAGGACTATTATTTTAATTTTGGCATTTTGCATTGGTTCACTATAAATGTCCGATTCACTTTTCAAATTGTTACCACCAAATATTGTCTCCCTGTATTATATTTAAAGAAATTAAATAAAGAAGAATCTGCATAAATGTATGTATGTATGTTTCTCGCACTGTGATAAAACAACTGTACCTAGAGCCATCCAATTTAGAATAATGTTTGTTTCCACCCGAATATAGCCATCTGAAAGCCCAAATTTGGAATTTGTTTTATTACCTATTTCATATTTTGTAAAACTTTAACAAATTTTGGATTAACAAACTCAATGATTTAAAAGCAAGCAATGGCAACACTATGGGAGGGGAGGAAAGCCTTTTTATCTCCAGCGCGTGGAATTGTGTATCAGAAATTCTGTAGATATGCTCATTTAAGTTATTTTGCGATATTGCTGTTGAACTGAATCTTATGGTTAAGTGCAAAGAACATAATATTTAATAAATAAAGGTAACACAGAAAAAGTTTTAAAAATGCCCCTTTTAGACGTAATTTAAAATCTGAAACTTTTCAGATTTGTTATATGTTTTTATTTTTAGTTATTTATTTATTTTAAAAGAAGAACATATTTTCTTTCCCTTTTTTTCCGTTTTCTTTTTCTCGAAGGGGGAAAAAATGCTTGATCAAACCTTTTGAATTAAATATTTTTGTTGTGTTATTGCAACCACCTTAATAGAAGTTGCCAAATTTTTAGAATGTAAATAAACTCTGTCAGCTATTTGCATAACCACTCTTAGGCAACCATTTCTTCAGTCAAGCAGCAGCATCATTTTCAAATGCATTCTTTTGTTGTGTTCTAAGTTTAGCGATTTTTATAATCAAACCGTGATATGTTTTGCCTTAGTTTTAAAGGCTCTAGTGTAGAATTGGGTGCCCCTTCGATTAGCAACAATTTTTTTTAAGTTTTAGCGATGAAACCTCACTTCTGGTTACCATGATAGTTTTAACTTTGTTTTAGCTTCCTGATTTTATTTATATGAAAATAGATTGATGTGTACATGAACAAACTTAAGGCAGTGCATAATGCCTAGTTTGTGCAATTCTAGGATGTTTTTTTTAAGTGAAAACAGATTGATGTGTATATGGACACAGAGTTTGTGCAATGCCTTGACTTTATTGTGGTTATTTATTTTGGTTGTGGTTATTTATTTTGGTTGTGTGTAGCGGCCATCTTGAAATTGTGCCTTCCTGGTGCCGATCTTGGCGTAAAAAAAGAATCGCTAAAAAACAAGAGGCACCCAATTGTAAACTTTTATCGTTTTAAAATATGCACTTGTGGAATTGACAGCAATGAAAGACACTGGTAAAATTTCTGCAGTAATTTAGAATTTTGCCACAATAAAGAGATGTGTTTGGTAGATAACCAGTTTTGTCGAGGTTTGCACAGTGAGTCTCTGTAATTATGTGATTTTTTTAAGGCAAAAATATATCACTGTGTACTTGGGGAAAAGAATATCGTAAAAAAATTACAGAAGGATGTGGAGATGAATGTAAATGTTTTATTTTTTAATGCATCATGAAATCCTTATTTAATAACTAAATTTTTTTTAAAAAAATTGCTAAGATATGTTGATTTCTCATATGTAGATAATGTTTGTCAACTTAAATAAATATTGATAGGGAATCATTTAAAAAAATGTTGTGAAAATCACTATTTTGTACCCGATAAGTAACTTTTACCTTTTCATCTGTGAAAAATCACCAAATTGGGCCAAGGTGGTTATATTAATATGTAATATATTTATTAATATGTAAATTATTATGTATTAATATGTAAATACCAATATTTCTTTCTATACAAAATTACATATAAATCGATGCAATTTCTTTGAAGCTAAGCTATTCAGACTCAAAGAAAAAATTGCAAGTAGTGTGTAGTAATACATTTTATAATTTCATTTTACTAGGAAAATTTCACATATTAAAAATAATTTTAAAAAATGTTGATAGATGAAAAAAATGCTTATGTTTGTTAGGTTTTTGTATAATTTCTTTATTCCTCGTATTTTGATATTTAAACAGAATGCATTAATTAATGAACATATTTTATAATTTGTTTGAAATTGGCAATATTTAAAATTGTTAATGTGAAAGATAAAAATATTTTATTTTGCAGCAGCAACGCATTTTTTTAAACACATTAAGTGCATTCATCCAGACGCAACTTATATTAGCCTAACTGGTGACTTGTAGTAGTTTATATATTATATTGTTACGAAATGTCAAGGCACGGTAGGATAGCTTCCCTGCAAACAAGTTTAGGGTTGCCACATTTGTCTAGAAATCCCTCATTTGGCGACAGAATTGGCAATATGCCATGGACGGATGGAGAATCTTCTGGAACAAATTTTTACCGGTTTAGCCTAAAATGTTCTCGAACATAAGCCGAAAGCTATATAAACCCTGCTGGTCCGCAGTCAGTTGGTGTGCCTCGTCTAGCGAGCTGATAGTCAGTCATTGAGCGAGTTGGTCGTCAAGTGCATCGAAAAGTCTCTTAGTACATTCAAAAGTCGTTAATCCGGACTCGTTGGGACTTCAGCGATTCCAGATTATCGATTTTTTCCAGATTATAGGTCATCAGTTTAAATCTGGTAAGATGGCATGCAGAAATTATAAAATTAAAAATATGAAACCGTAATTATGAAATAAAGAACAATTATGATCTAAAGGGTATCAAAATTTGCAAAAAAAAAAAGAGCTTAATATTTATTTGTTTACTTTATTAAACATTTCTTTTAATGTAAGTTGTTTAAGTTGCTTCGTTTTATGTGATAATACTTTCTCTTTAATTCTATAAACAGACATAATTTCTTCTTCAGTTACAAAGTTCCGCTGTTCAAGTCCTATAATTGCTGTGTCGAGAATACCGACTAATTTGTCAATCGAAATTTTTTAGTTTTCAATAACCTCTGTGTCACTTTCTTCACTATCGGAAGCGAATTATAATGACGAGGAATTTGATTTAAATAATATCAAAGACGGAGTACATCGAGATGAAATACTACATTTAGTAAGGAATTATAAGCCAAATAAAGTGAAAACATCTGCCCTGAAGGTAAGGATAGCTAATAGTCGGCACTGAGAGTGTGCCTCGTCTAGAGTGCATCTCAAGTTTGTCTGTGTGGACTCGATCCAGTTGACAGCCGGGCAGCGAGTGCCGAGTGGGTCGTCGAGTGCACCGTAGGAGTCTCTTAGTGCATCTTCGAGAGAGCGTGTTGAGCTCCGGGAACGACTGAACCGAAGAGTCAGGAGCTGTGCTCTGTATGTCATTGAGTGCATTGCGAGTTGTAGCTTGGAGAGTCTCGAGAGTACATGGAGTTCCGAGAACGACAGAACAGAGTCGGGAGCTGTACTCTGGTGCTTTGCAGTGAAGCTATCTCCATCGTTATTGCCTGAAAGTGTGAAGGCTGTGTCACTGATTGTTCCAGCGTGTTTATAGTAGATCTTTGACACACTGTAAAAGTGTTTTGGAGCTGTCCTGATTAATATTGGCAAATAAAGTGTGTTTCGGTATTCCATCAAGTGCTGTCATCGTTATTCACTCCAAATCCACACAAACCCCGTACGAACGTAAAGGAAGAAAATAACATAACAACTGGTGTCAGAAAATAACGTAACAATATCGTGCATTCAGATTTGGCCCTCTGTATTTTAAAGAAAGCAAACTCTATGTATGATTAAGTAATGGTTTTAGGTGCTCCAGAAATACATAAAACTTTGGTGGACAAAATAAAATTTTTGGCCTCATAGACTTCATGTATCGAAATGAATACAATCTAATTGAGGTCTGAAAAACAGATATTAATATAATATGTTTTGCAAAAATATTAAATACTTCAGGGAGCATTTATGATATGTTAATAAAAAATGATAGTGTCCTAAAACAAAAACTTTTTCTTTTTTTGATATGTTTGTGTTTGTGTTAAATCTTTCAGTTTTCTGATTAAATTTGAAATATCTCATGCATTGTCAATTGCTTTTATATCGCGAAGCTTGTTAATTAAAAAAAAAAATTGTTAAATGAGCACAAAATATGAAATAAATTTTTAAAAAATTAGAATTTTTGACTTCAGGGTATACGTATTCGAGTGGCTCAAAATTTTGTGGTTCTTGGTGCTGCCCTTTGAGGAATATACATGCACACACATAAATAATTGTATTGCTAACAATCATCACCTGGTTTTATATTTTGAATCCTTTCAAAACTGAAGGAAGATTAAAAAAAAAAAAAAAAAAAACGCTAAGAACTAATATGGTATGTGGATGGTATATGCTTGTTAAGCAATACTCGGAATAAAACAGCAATGTATATCCAAATGTATTACATCAGTTTTTAAAATAGTGCTCGGCATGAAGGAATACATGAAATAAACTATAAATCAGTTGTGAAGCTTTTAGCCATGCTCATACAATTAAAAACATTAAAATAACTAATAAATAATAAATATTTGCTGTTATTTGTTACTTTTATGGTAACTAAAAGATTCTAACTATTACTTCCCTTTCTGAGCTGTATTTTTTTATTTTACTAGTATCTGTACATCACTTACAGAAGACTAAATTATATAATTTTACTTTTTCAATGTTTTAATTTCTAGGATGTTATTCTCATCTTTAATGCATATTCAGATCATTTTTATTATATATTAAATTTAAATTATATCACTTATAAAAATAGTTTTCTATTCTTTTAATTTTGTAATGCATTAAAATGTACTAATATTCTTATTACTTATCCATGTGTTTTGAAGTAAATTTTGTCTTAATTGATTATGGGGTTGTGACGTCGTGGATGCTTCAGTAGGAATGGAATCAACACTGATATTGGTGATGCATCACTTTATTCACAGCACATACCACAGATACAACATTTAATTAATACATTTAGAAAATTTGAGTACATATCCGAGTTGGTGACACGATCAGAAACGTTAACGAAGATAGCACTCGTCATCACTGGACGAATTTAGTCTCCACACCTCAGCTCACTGGCGGAGCTTCCCAAACCCTCTCTCTGACAGGCGTCTGACCAGAATGCTCATCTCTTTACGCATGCATATTACTCAGTTAAGTCGTTGCGTTTCACAGTTCTTTAAAATAGGTGTTAAAAATGAATTATAGTACTCATAGTGTGAGGAGTTTGCTAACAACGTTCTCTCTAGTCGAGAGCATCATAGGTCTTTCTAGTAGAGAGTTCAGGAGCTTTCTTTACAGGGTTATTATTTTTGTGTTAATAGGTCAATCATAGGGTGTCTCATAGATTTGCAAAAAGGGAAGGAATTGATATAATTAAATGCATTTTGTGAAAAAATTATTCTTTTTCTCTCTTCCATCTTCTTCTTCTTCTTCTTTTTTTAAGATAAAGAAAACTATTTTAAATCAAATATTTGTTAAAAATTGCCATTTCATGCATTCAAACATAGTAAATGTGCAAATGAAAATCTTGTAAATTTAGGCTACATGACTAACAGTTGTTTTCTTAGTTTACCACTTACTGCTGCAGGTGTAAGTTTTTCACTGTTATGTTGATGTCTTAGTATTGGCAAAGCTTTTTTAACTGAGCAATAAACTGCTTGATAAATTTTACTTAAATTTTGGTTATAGAAAATGAAAGGTAAAAGTCTAATGATTCCTGCCAAGCTGTTATTCCTGTCGCAATGCTTTGAACAAATAGGAAGTTTGTGTGATGAACCATGATTTATCAGAAACTTGTTTCTGTTTTGTTTTCACAATTATACAGTATAGTAAAACCTCACTTAACGAGCACCTCCCATAATTAGTGATTCACATAACAAGCAAAACAAAATACATAAAATTGACTCCCTTGATGAGCTATGTTTCACAGAATGAGTGATGTGGAGACATCTCGATGTCACATTTAGGATCCTGCATGCAACTCGGGTATCAGTCTGTGTTTAGCACTCATTCAGCTAGCATCTCACTGTTACTTGGGAAAGTTGTTTATTTAGACACATTACCGTGTTTACTTGTGTAATAGTCGCACTTTTTGTGCTAATTTTTTATTGTGAAAGTTTAGGTGGGACTATTATGCAGGGAAATCTACTACAAAATATTGTACTCTTTTGTCGATTTATTATTATTATTATTATTATTATTATTTTGCTTCAAGATGGGGGTACCATTATTATGCGACATCTACAGTCAAAAGTCTTTAATCCGGACTCGTCGGGACTTCGGCGATTCCAGATTATCGTTTTTTTTTTTCAGATTATAGATCATCAGTTTAAATCTGGTAAGATGGCATGCAGAAATTATAAAATTAAAAATATGAAACCCCAATTATGATCTAAAGGGTATCAAAAGTTCAAGCTTACTTTTATTAAATTGCTCTAACAGTCTGCAAAAAATAATAAGCCGGATCCAATTAGAAGATTAAGGAACAACGCAATCTGCAACATTAACTGAAATAGATAATTAGATAATTGTAGCTTAGCTTATACCATCCAATATATATTAAACGCACATGCGTAAAGGTATTATGCGCATGCGTAAATGCATAATGCGTTTACGCATGCACAGAAAGTTTGTAGCTTTGAGGTCCGGATTATAGATCATTCTGGATTATGGACGTCCGGATTAAAGACTTTAGACTGTATTACGCGAATAAATACAGTATTATTTTTTATGTGCAAAGCATGCTTAGAAGTCAAACACCAAGTCATTGAGAAGCAAGAGCAAGGTGCGAATGTGGCTGACTTAACACACACATATAAATGGAGTATAAGGAACAGTTTGCAGTATCCTCAAAAACAACGATAAGATTAAGGAGATTGATGCTTCAAAGTGTGTCACAAAAATTTGTACACAGTGGTCATGTGTTCTCGATGATGTTGAAAGATACTTATCATATGGATCAATGAGAAGCAAATGGCAGGCAAATAGATAATGCAAATGTAATTTGTCTTATTATTTTAATATTAGCAAAAGGGCAAAATTAAAGAATTGTGAAGGGCAAAATTAAATTTTGCCGACCACATTAAGAAGACGCCAAGATTATTTATTCATGAAGAAGCGTTCAAGACAGCTGTATGTGATTAAAAAAAATTTAAGAAAAGAACTGTCATCCACAGCATTGTGAGGTACCGAGAAGCAGCAAGCTGAGACATAAGGGTAATTGAGAACTTTATCGTCATGTTTAAGAAACATGTGAATTCTAAGGTTTATGCATTTAATTATGATGCTGCTCTGTTTCCATGCACTTTGGCGTAGTTTAACACTCCTAGTTTATTCTGAATTGTATAGCTTAATCTCTTGTTTTCTGTAGTCATATTTCCCTGGGTATTTTTTTTTTAACAAATAGTTTTAAGCATCGATGCCGACACGTTTATACAGAGTAGCACCGATACCAACACGTGTGTCAGCTGAGTCAAAGAAAGTCTATGTAAAGAAGGAAAGGCTACATAGACGTAAATGTGACCGTCGAACCTGTTCAAACTTCGACATCAGCTTCGAGCTTTGGCGCTTTTGGGCGACAGATATTTCACGCATGTGCAAAATAATTATGGCAGATGTAGAAAAAGTTATGTGTGTCTAGACATTTATCCGAGCTAAAAATAGCATTCAGTATTGAAAAGTTAACCTGTGTCCTTCACGTATAAGACGCAGGTAACTTTTTTGAGACCAAATTTAGGAAAAAAAGTGTGTCTTATATGCCGTCAAATACAGTAATCAAAGATATAGTGTCTCTAGTTAAGGTTAATGAGAGGATAGCATAGGAAATAGCTGGAGGTGTATAACAATGACATTGGTGAGCTAGTGGAAGAGCATAGCCAGGAGGTGACCAACGAAGAGCTTATGGAACTGCATTCTATGCCACAGCAAAAAGTTGTGGAGAAGGAGGTAACAGCCTCAGCAAAGCAACAACTTTCCATTGAAATAACGGAGAAGCTGTTGCATGAGAAACTGTTGCATCGTACATTGATAAGCAAGCCTAATAAGGCAATGGCTATGTGCATTAAAATTTATTTAACAATAATGCTGTGTCTGATTTTTGCCAAATTTTGAAGTGTAAGGCAAGAACAAATGTCTTTAGATAACTTTCTTGTAAAAAAGGATGTATCATAAATAATAAATTACATTGCTGTAAATTTGAGTATTTTTTTCGAAATGGGGTGCATTGTCCTATTTCGCATTGATTCCCATAAAAAATTGATTTTCATTGCAAGTATGATTCAGGAATACATTATGCTTATTAAGTGAGGATAAAGTGTTCCATTGTATAAGGAAACAGTCCACTAATGCATAGACAATGCATGAAAAGTGTGTTAAATAACTGTATATTGAAGGTGCTATGACTTCACCAGCTCTTGCCAAATGTTAAGCTACATGAGAAAAAGGTGTAAGGTGAGCTTTAATGAATGTCGCAGAAGATGAACAATGATTATACAATGTGATGATGTGCTATGAAAAAAAGCATAGTTTATTACGGAATTGTATGATTTGAATGTATGAACTGAGTTTTGTTTACTAATACTTAAACATATTTTCTAAATGTTTAAAAAATTACGTGACACCCTGTATTTCTTTTCATAGAATGATAAAATATTCATAAAGTTTTTCTTTCTTGAGAAAATTTAATATTTAGTTCTAATAAATCCTTAGTTATATTGTGTGGTAGTTATAAGGTGTCTGAAGCCAAAAATTGTTGTAATGATATGAAATTGTCAACAAAAGCCTCTGCTATTTGTAATGTAAGAAGTGAAAGCATCTATGTTATGAATTACATCCATTTTTTTCCCATTCATTCAAATGGAATACAGTGCAATATTTTATTTATCTTCATTTTTCTGTTTTATTGCTTATTTGTGTGATAATTCTTTTGAGTAAGTAGTATGTCAAGTTATTAATTTTTTTGTTTGACCTCAGTTAAGCTTGAAGCATTCATTTGTCACAAGTATGAGAAATGTTTGAAATTTTGTGTAGAAAAGGTAACTCACAATTAACGAAATATATATGTAATCAAAAATAGTTTTTAGTATTATATTTGCTGTAATTTCATGTAAAAGTAATTCCTGGAATTTTTTTTTTTTTTTTTTTTTTAGTTAACTCATAGTATATTTGCTAACATACTTCATTTGTGGATTGACAGAAGCAAATTATTTCTACATGAAGTACAAACTGGTTCTTGCAAACTGAAAGAATTGTTAGAAAGTTCCTTTTTAACCCTTAAAAGTAAGTGTAAAATAAAAGTAAGAACTACATCTCTAAATGAAATAAAGTGAAAAGAAAATTTTATTCATTTTAGTTATTCTATGTTGTTTTTCATTGTCTCTGCTTTTGTGAAGTAAAAGCCTCTTGCTTGAATTGTCAATTTGACATCAGATTTTGTAATTTTCTTATCTTGCAGTTTTAAGGAAACTTGTTGTAAATGGGTTCAAAGATTGCTCCAAAGAAAATGATGCTGTTAATTTTTTATCTCTCATATTTCAACAAATTGGACCTTTCGTAGAATGCAGTGAGTTTTATTTTTTCTAATAATAATAATTTTTTTTTATATGAAAGGGTATACTCAGTATGAAGTTGATGCTCTACAGTAGTTACATATTAATGCTGTCACCATGGATAGTATGAGAATTTGTTACAAATGAAAATATTAAACATACTTATTGTGGACAAGTTGGCGATTTTGGAACTTTTTCCTTTTTGAAGAAATTGTCAATTTATCATGGAAGTTCCTGAACTTTATCAATATATCAAAAGGAAACATACTTTATCAATTTAAAATAAAAATCTTAAATTAGTAAATAAGGATTATATATTACATTAAAATAATAAAACACATTTTTCACAAAATCCTTCTGTATTTTTTTCTGTGCCGTGAGTAGTTTTCACTTTAAAAAAAATTTACAATTACACAAACTCAGCATCATGCACAACTCTGGCATTATGCACCATAGTAGTTAATGTATCAGTTTTGTTTGTAATTAAATCCATCCCCATGCACCACCATAATTCAAATGTATTCTCTTTTTATACCTGGATGATACCGATTAGTCAATGCAAGCCACCTGACAAATTCTACAACTGCATATTTTAAAATAAGAGTTTAAGGCAAAAAATATCATGATTTGTCTATAAATCATTGGAATTTGTAAGACAACAAAAAGAACACATAGGAAATGGGCAATTTTGCTTGACTGAAGGATTGTTAAGAGCATGCATACTTGAAAAATGGTAATGTGCATGGTTGCCAAAGTTTGGCATATTCTGAAAATTTGACGACTTCTGCTAAGGTGCTTGTAATAATATTTTTAAGTACTATTATAACTACTACTAGTATTCTAAAAAAAAAATAAGGTTGTAAATAGATGCAAAGAAAGTTAAGCTTGTCGATTGAGAAATTTTAACATAAATCAGTTGCTATAATGAGCATTGACCAAATCTGTAGTTGTTTCCAAAATTAACTATTTGACTGTATGAGTCATTATTACTGAATGATTTTTAATGTAAGTATCATTCTCTCTTTAATAATTTGCTAAAAGTATTAACATGTTTAATGTATGCATGAATGAAATGGAGCATAACAAATAATATATATGTAAAACAAAGTATTGTGGGCTGGTTTTTTTTTTTTTTTTTTTTTTCTTCTTGTAATGTATAGCCATTAAAAAAATCACAGTAAAAGTTTCAAAATATAGTAAAATTATTTATCTTATCAGTGAAAATGCAATGATGAATTGGCTAACTCTGAAACTGACTACCTGCAATAAAAATAAAACCTCTAAAATTTACTTTACAATAAAAATAGCATAATTTTGCAACTAACAATTTCTAAATATTAGTTTTCATTTATAATACTTGAATATTTATGACATCACTTTCTGTGCAGTACAATTTATATAAATCTAATTTTTAACTGAAAATTGAAAAAATTTGCTATTTTTATCACTATGCTGAATTATGCTTTGGACATAATTTCGTTTTGGCATTTTAGTTATTTAGCGTACAATATGGTTTTGGTATGTGAGCATTAATTTAGGGGGGTGAGTAAAATTAGTTGTATTCGTTTACTTTGGGAATTTTTTATTGTTAATTGAATGTATTTTTTTAACTTAAGTAAGAGTCCTAAATATATGAAATAGATCATTTTATTCTTATATATGCCACTGGGCAGTAAATTGTGATAATTTGTTCTCTCATTTCTTTTATCATAGAAGTTTCTGTCCTTCACTGTAGATTTATTCTCTGTGGCTTTAACGTTCATATTATTTTTTCTTCTGTCAATGAAGTTAGTGATTTACTTCTGGAATACTTTATAGTGAAAGCCTGATTAATCATTAAACAAACTAAACACATGCTTAAAGAATATCAAGAAAAGGAAGTACTGAAAAAAAAAAATTTCCATTGTTACTTTTACAATGGGATGTATGATGTAGCTCAAATGACCTAGAAAGAAGGAATGGGTAAAAGACAATGATGTGAGGCACCAAAATCTCTTAAATACTTAGGGCCTTTAAGTGTCTTAATCTGGCTCTGAATATAACAGATTAGAATTTTTAGAGAATTATAATGTTACCTTCTAACAGAACTATTTGCATATAACCAAACTGTTTAATCGAATGCCATCTAGTGGTGACGAGAACAACTTAACAGCAGTCGACCTCCAGCTGCAATGAAGATTAAGTTCTGCAGTATTATGTTTCTGCAACTTCAACATTAAATTTCAAATGGGATCTATGGGTTTGTTCTCTTTTGGTGTATATATAGATTTGTTACTCTTTCTGTGCTCTGTTAATAAATACTTTTAGGTCAAGCAATGTTTATGTTTATAGAAGAACAATTACAAATTGTTATTAAGGTTTGACGTACTGAATGAGTAAACTCTGAAATTTCACTTTAAGTAACGCAGATTTAATTGCACAAAGAAGCTAGCATTACTTTTGTTGCTAATCAGTCTTTCAACTTTTTTTTTCCATTTTATTTTTCTACTAGAATATCCTCTTTGGTAGGTGAATTATACTTTCTTGATGCGTTAATCATATAATAAATGTGAATTAATGATTTTATAGTGGTTATCATCTTTTTCCAAAAATCAATAATTTTTAACATAGTGCATAAATTTCTTTTTATTCTTAGAGCCTTTCCTTAATTCATAAATATCTTTTTATTCTCACTAACATTTCTGTACTATATAAATTTCTTTTTAATCTTTTTATTTCTTTCTTTGGATTTTGCTTAGTTGGGGTTGTAATGATCCTCAGGTTTGAAGAAACGTAAGGTTTAAATTAGAGGTTAATTTAAATAAGGTTTAAATTCCTGTTCTTATGGGAACAACTCCATGGGTCCACTGAATGATCAGAAAGTAATCAACAAAGGAAACTCGTTAAGGACACTCCCACTTTGTGGGGTTTTCTTGCGATGAAAATGTAAAAGGAAAGGAAGCGGCTTTTATCTAAATGATGCTGTAGGTATAAGTCTGGCCAAGTGATTGTGTGATCTGCATTATGCAGAAGTTTTGTCTGTTCATTTTGTAGCTGTACTGATGATTTACTGTTATTTAACCCAGAAATCTTTGTTTAAGACAACTCATCTGATTATTTTCCATCTTGGAAGTTTACTTACGGTACAGGGGTGTTTTATGCTTATTTAACACTTTTACAGTTGAATTGTTGCTGCTTATGATCTGATATAGTTCCAGTGAAGAAAGTTTTATGTCAAATCTTCTCTTAAAATGCCTAATCTTCATTTAAAACCTACACTGAACTAAAATTTAAATTTGAGCATTTTTAAAGTTTATGTTGGTGTTTTGTTGTACAATTAGTATATCCAAACATGTTAGTAGGTTGGGTTTCTGTTGTAACTGGAAGCTAGAGATTATGTCCTGCAGACTCTACTAGATAAACAGCGAATAATTACTATGTCTTAAACAACTTGTAAAATACAGAAGGTTGAAATAACATTTTTATTTAGTCTTAAAGTCTTTATTTAGTCTTAAAGTAACAAAACAGGGACAGGTTGTGCTACAGATAAAACTTCCATTATTTGCAGATACTTAAATTAACATAACAAATAATTAAATGTTAATAATATTTTCTAAGATGACACATAGAATAGACTAGAGTAAGCTGGCTCAGATAATTTATCAGCACGTATTTAAAACATCTGCTAGTGAGATGCTTAAAGCCACGGTATAATTTTTATGCAGAGCTGTTAAAAATACTGACAGCAAAACACAGTTGCCAGAAGCTCTAAACTAAGGATTCAAAACCTTCAGCTTAAATACACAACATCCTAATTTGCATTTTGGTGAAGAATACAAAAAGGAGAAGTTGTAGTAATGACTTAAATCATAAATAACTGGTTACTTATTAATGTTGCATGTGTACGAGTTCATTATGAATTGAATGCACAAGCCCAATGGAAAATTAATAAAATTTATTATTATCACAACAAATAAAACAAAACTGCTTAAATTTCATCAGATATTCCTACAATAACCCAATACCTCACAGTAGTTATCTTTTAAACTACTACAAAACGTTCAACAGAATTAATTCAAAATAGAGAAATGTAGATAAAGCTAATCTGATTCGCTACAGTAAACAACAGCAGTTTTCTAAACAAAAGTGGGCTGAGGTGTTCTTTCTCTGGCTTTTATAGCTTTTTAAATCGGCCACATGAGATTATTCTAGCAATTTTTCGAAATAAAAAAAGAGATATTTATTTATTAAATGTTAAATGCACGTGCTCGTGTATTTCTAATTTTTCAACTTAGCTTTCTATTAATATTCATCACGCAATGCATGGGAATAAAACAATTTAATTTATAATTCTACTAATATTAGCTATTTAAATAACAAATCCATAACACTGCCCCCTTCCCAAGGACTGCACGTCCCAGGCAGTATGATGCCTGGACAGGAAGCCAAACTTACAACTGAGGCATAAATGCAATAACTAACTTAAACAAATCAAATGCTATCAAATACTAAATACAAATCAAATACTAAATACAAGTGAAATCAAATGCATAGTTAGAAACAAAAAGGATCATGGTCTTACACTATTTACAATTATTTACACTACGTACTGTGGCCATAGTAATGAGCTAACCTGTAGTAATGAATGACTTTAGAGTTCGATGACTTACGAATTAGAACCACGACGTCGTTCAATCTGTTTAGGGCTGTACAAGGACCATGCCAAGGCGACTGTAGTTTCAGACTGAGTCCTTTTCTTTGAATCGAGTTCCACAACCACACCTTGTCTTCTTCATTGAATCGATGTCCAGCAGCTCTTGTGTCATATTGGGTGTTTATCTTTTCCGTCGCCAAGTTGACTCGCTGCCGTGCAGAATGGTGCATCACTTCAAACCAGGCCTAGACATCTTAGATGCATTCCTTAAGGCGGTGAAGGCGCATCCGTAGGACGACGTAATAGGAGATCACAAGGCAGACGAAGGTCACGACCGAAGAGCATCTGGAATGGAGAATAGCCAGTAGTCTGGTGTTTCTC